ATTAAATGTATTAGTTTCCTTATTTGCTAATTTGGAAAGGGCATAAAGATAGATCCGTTAACTACCTCAGCTGTGTGTCTGGCTTCAACACAGACACACACAGATACACACACACACACACACACACAAACTGAAAGTTATAAATGACCAAAACATAAACCTTAGCTGCCTTCAGTTAAAAATCAATTTTCCTAATAAATTAAATTCAAATATTATATACCAGTATGTAATATCAAGAATGATGTGCTAATAATTGCCATGTTGGCAGAGTGCAAGACAGAAGGATATAAAAATTCAGTAATTTAGAAAACTTGGTACAGAAAATAGCTTTCACTAGAGGAAGGCTCAGAGTTAGGTTGTTGAGCTATGATAGTATTCTCTGACTGGCCAGGGTTGAATGTTCAAAATGTGATTTGAGTGTTAATCATCTATTTGAATAAAATAACTGGAGAGACTGGAGAGACTCTCATGGGTTAAGTAGTTTGTTCCTGAACATGATGTTTCTCCTTTTGTGTATTCTAGAATCATTGGGAGTTTTGCTTGCTAAACAAACAACTTCTTTTGGATTTTTTTGTTTTTAGCTTTACTCATTTGTCAATTGTAATCTCTAAGGCAAAGAATTTACCTCAGCTTTGGCTGATATGAATTATGAGCTCATTCATACCACCCATATCAAGTTTTAAGCTTTATCTTTCATTTTACCCAGTAAGAAATCTGATATGCTATGTTTCACATTGGTTTGCTATTTGGTATTCCATCATATCCACACTGAGTAGAACTGTATGAATCAACCCCAGCTTATTTTTCCATTCTATTGTTGATGAGCATTTGGGTAGTGTCATTAATACATGAAAAAATGAAATATCATATTGGCACTCGTTTGCATAGACATGGCATTTTAAAGTTTTGTATTGAAGTATAATATAGAGATGAATATATCATAATAACATAACTAGACAAATTTTTACATATCAAACATACCAGAACCAAAAAATAGAACAGGACCAGGTTCCCAGAAGCCCTCCTTGTGCTCCCTCTCAGTTGTCATCTCCTGTCAAGGGTAAGCACTATCCTGGCCTGTGTGAGTTTGTTTGTGTATTTTGTACAAATGGATTCCTCCAAAACTTATTTTCATGTGTCTCAGTTTTTCCACCTACCATAATTGGGAGATTCATTTGTTATTGTAAATTGAGAAGGTTGCTCATTCTTAATGTCATAGCATATGTTCTGTTGTATGAAGAATCTACACCAATTGTCCATTTTACTGTTGATGAACATGTGGATCTTTTCCAGTTTGGGGGTTATTATGAATAGGGCTGCTATGAGCAGTTTAATATGTATTTTGGTAAACATTTGACATTGGTGCATTCCTAAGAACGGAGTTGCTGGGTCAGTGGGCTTCCATATGTTTAATTTTAGTGGATGTCTCCAGTTTTTTCAAAGTGATTGTACTAAGTACACAGCATTTGACTATTTTTTTTTTTAACTGGGGCACTTTACCACTGAACTACATCCCCAAACCTTTATTTATTTTTTTAATTTGGAGACAATGTCTCCCTAAATTGTGCATGTTGACCTTAAACTTGTGATCCTCCCACCTCAGCCTCCCCAATCTCAGTGAGATTACAGGAAACTGCTCCTGTGACTGGCAAGCATTTGACTTCTTGAAGAAACATTCTAGGGAAGATGTTTCAGCATAACCACTAATAGAACAAGTTTTGGAGTCACTCAGACCAAATTTAGCCTACCTCTAAACTGCTGTGCCACCTTGGACAAGATACTTAACTTTAAGCCTCAGTTTACTTAACTGTAAAATAAGTGCAGTATAATAAAGTCTTCGTTAAAATCTGTGACAATTGGGGTTTTTTAAAAAACCTTGTATTCTATTTATTTATTTTATGTCGTGCTGAGGATTGAACCCAGGGCCTCACACGCACTATGTGAGAGCACTCTACCGCTGAGCCACAACCCCAGCCCCAACAATTGAGATTTTAATGCACTTTGGATAATGCCTAACTCATAGTACATTCTTAGCTTATAACACGGTAGTTATTAATCATTTGTTAGTGATTCAAACAGACAAAATGGAGAATTAGAAACAAATATTAGCAAACTAATCCACAAATAATTTTAATTCTGATAGAAGAAAACTGAAATTCTGACCCAAGAAAGGAATTACCAATTCCAGTGAGTACTACACTTGCACCCTGAAAAAAATCATTTAAACGTTATCCAAAAATGCATTTGCAAATTACTCTTGCCAGAGGCAAGGTTCTTGGATGCAGAGCATTACCATCCATTTTTTTTCTACCAGATATTACTCTTTAAAGCCAGGACTGCCCAGGGCTACTCTGGAAAGTCACTAATATAATACCTTTTATTATATTTGCCAATTTCACACCTTCCTCAGCCTAATCCCCAAAGTTGTTGAAAAGTGACTATAATTGGGCCATTAATTTATAGTTTTCTTGGAATCTTGTATCTAAGACAACTTTTGGATCCCTAAAAATGAGTCCAGCTCCTTGCTTTAAATGACAAAGAGCTTGCCTTTATTTTGTGGGATGAACTTGATGACCTCTTGTTTTCAGCATCCTAGAAGTTAACACAGGTACGTTCTGTACAGAGGTCCTGTTTAGCCAATTGTTCCAGAAGCTGCAGGCTCAGTCAGCTTAGAGAGGTAATTTTGGAAGGTGGCATTGTGTTTGTTCCTAACAAATTGAATCAGATCCCATATACCAGGCACTATTTTTAAGAAATAAAGCACACGATCTTCTTGAAATTATGTAATTTTTGAGGCAGCAGTGGTAGACCTGAAAGGGCACTTTCTGAACATTTAATTGAACTTCTTTGATTTACAAGATAGAAAATTAGTCATTTAGAAGTCTCGCCCAAGGTCAAAGGGTTTCTTCCCTGTACAAGCATAAAGCTTGACTTCTAATTCTCAGTCCAGACCATCTCTGCAACTGGTATCTTGAATCCCCTGCACCCCACATCATTACTTCCACTCATATTTTAGACAGATGCAGACCTGGGATATAGTGATGGGGAAGCTGGAGTGTAACTTAAAAATAGGGAATGACAAATCATGAACATTTTTTTTTTCCGGAAGCGCACGAGGAGAGAGGCTTGCGTGCTCCTGGTAGAGTCCGGGAGCTAGGAAGGCCCTCGGGACTGTGTGCACCACGGTAAGCCGGGTTAGTTCTAATCACACTGAAATGGGAAAGGAGGGGGGGCAGCGTGGGGGATAAAAGAAAAAGAAAAGCAGCCAGTCAGTCCGGGGTGTGTCGGAGAAAACTCGGTCCTCCGCTGTTTCCTTCCACCTCTTTCCCATATAACTAATGAGACGCGTAAGCCGGGATTCTAAATTAAGAAGGGTCCTACACAGAGCCTAGAGACCCGGTCACTTCCCTTCCCTTCCTCCCCGAGTGGGCTGTCCCGGGCGACAGGGTGACGGGCGGTGGGGTTCTGGTCGCACGGACAGTGAGGTGCCAAGGGGCTGGTGACGGCCCGCGGGATCCCGATCCCGTGGACGGCGGTGGCCCTGCCTCCCTCGGCTCCTCAGGACAACTCTCCACAAGCACCAGCTGCTTTCGGGCGCGGGGACGCGGTGGAAGCCCGCGGCGGCGGCGGCGGCGGCTCCGACGGGTCAAGTTCGCGGCCGCCCGCGCCCCTGGCCACGGTGGAGGCCGCCCGGCGCGGGGAGGCTCGGCCTCGCGCGGCGGCGCCACGTGGGGAAAAGTTTGCAGTAGCGCTGCGGGGCCTCGCGCGGCCGGACGCCCGCTCCCTCTGCGGCGCCCGGTCATGCCCCGGCCCCGAGCGTCCTCCTCCGACCCCACGGGTCGCCGGGGGAAACGCCCTGGGGCTCCTCGGGCGGGTCGAGGAGCAAGTGTCCCGGGAAGGCGCGCAGTGCGCGCGGAGGGTGGGGGACGGCCGGCGGGGTGCTTGGGACGGCCGCCCCCGCGCGCGGCCCCCGCCGCTCGTCCCCCTCGCCCCCCGCCACTCGCCCCCCGCCACTCGCCCCCCGCCACTCGCCCCCCGCCACTCGCCCCCCGCCACTCGCCCCCCGCCACTCGCCCCCCGCCACTCGCCCCCCACCCCCCGCGCGGCGCCCCGCTACCCCCAGTGCGCAGGCCCGGCCGCCCCAGCGCGCATGCCCTGGGCTCGCGAGCGCTGCCGGCCCCCAGCCTTCTGCTTTCCACACACTCTACAACTGGGGAGGGGGCGGGGGCGGAGGAGCCCGGCCGTCCACGTGATCTTGTTGGCCGGGAGCGCGCGCCGAGCGGGGCGCGGGGAGGCGGTGGGCGTGAGCGCGCGCGGGCGAGGCAGCAAGCGGGCGGGCGGCGCGGGGCTGGGCTGAGGCGGCGGCGGCGGCGGTGGGCCGGCCGCGCAGGGGGAGGAGCGGGAGCGCAGCGAGGCGGGCGGAGGATGGGGCCGTGCCCGGGCTCCCGCTGCAGCCGCCCGGGGACACGCCGTGCACCCTCCGGCTCGGGGCTTCGGCGGCGGCGGCAGCGTTAGCGGCGGCGGTGAGAGTGGCGTTCTTGTCAGCGCTTCTGCCTGGGGCGGTCGGCGCGAGGCGGCGGCGGCTCCCCAGCTGCTCCCGGGGAGCTTTCTTTCTGCTCTGCTTTGCTTGTCGACCGCCTGCCTCGCCCTCCCGGTTTTGGGGAAGGGCGCCCTCTTCTCGGGACCCGGACTCTGTTTTGTGGCAGGGGCAGCGCGGCGCTCCGCTCCCCTCCGGCAGCCCGGGGCCAAGCGCTACCTCAACTGCCCAGCGAGACTCGCCCGCCGCGCGCGGCGCCCCGGGGCACGAGCCGGGCGTTATTATGCGCCCCGCGCTGGGTAGTCTGGCCGCGCCGCGGCCGCTGCCCGGCCCCGGCCGCCGCCGGCTGCGCGGCTCGGACCTCTTGCGGCCCGGCAGTGAGTTTCCTGCGCGGCGAGCGTGAGCAGCGGCGGGGGCGTTCTCCCGCGCCGGGGCGGGCGAAGTTCCGCGCCCCCACTTTGCCGCGACCTTTGCGGGCCCGCCGGCGGGTGCGGGCGGCTATCGTCTGCGTGGGGCGGGGGGCGCGGCGGGCCGCGGCCGCGGGGCGGGCTCCCCCGAGCCTCCTCGTCTCCCGATCAAAGCATTCCGCTATTCTGATTTATTGCCTGCTCGGCGAGTTATTTCTCTGCCTCCGAAGGAGACCTGTGTGTGCAGCCATTACTTTGCTCGGCGCCGCTCGCAGGCGTCTCGGCCCTCGGTGCGGCGGGCAGCCCCGCACTTGGGCTCGCGCCCCGCGCCCTCGCCGCGGCTCCCTCCCCTCTCCCCGCCCCTTCCCCTTCTTTCTCCGCGCCTTCCTCCTTCCCTCGCCGCCGGCGCTCGGCCGCCGCCGCCCCCGCGCCCTGCTCGGGGCGGAGGGACGCCGTGCAGCTGGAGGGAGGGCTCCGTGTCAATTTTTTTGTGCGGCCGCGGCCGGAGCCTGTGGCGCGCGGGCGGCGAGCGCGGGGACCCCGGCGTGGCAGAGCCATGGATGGCCCGGCTCGGGGCCATGGACTCCGCAAAAAGCGGCGGTCGCGGTCGCAGCGAGACCGGGAGAGGCGCTCCCGGGGCGGTCTGGGGGCCGGCGCGGCGGGCGGCGGCGGGGCCGGCCGGACCCGGGCGCCCTCGCTCGCCTCGTCGTCGGGCTCCGACAAGGAAGACAATGGGAAGCCCCCGTCCTCCGCCCCGTCCCGGCCCAGACCCCCGCGGAGGAAGCGGCGCGAGTCCACCTCGGCCGAAGAGGACATCATCGATGGGTTTGCCATGACCAGCTTTGTCACTTTTGAAGCGCTGGAGGTAAGCGCCCCCTCCCCCCGTCTGCCTTTATGCGAGGCCCCGTTGGCGGCGCCGGGCTCCCTGCCGGGCTCGTCGCGCTCGGCGCTGTCTGTCGGTCTGTCTGGCCCGCCGGGGCTGCCGCGGGCGGGGGCGCGGGCGGAGCGCCGGCGGCGGACTCGCGGAGCCCTGCCCGCCTGCGAGTCTCCGCCTGGCTCGCCTTCCGCGGCGCCCCCTTCCCGCACCCCTCCACAGCGGATGGGCAGAGAGAAAGGGGTGCGGAGACCACAACAATGCGCCCCCCTCCGCGGAGAGCGCTGCCCCTGCCCCTGCCTCTGCGCCCTCCCCAATCATGGCTTCTTGGCTGGTGAAGTCTCTGCTGGGCTTGGGGCGCCTGTGGACCGTTCCCGGGTGCTTCTCCAGAGCCGGTGTCCGCGGTGTCTAGCACACACCTTTCCTGGTGTCCTGGAGCCAGAGACGGAGGGGTTTCGTGGTTTTTTTTGCCACCCCCGCACCGCATTTTTTTTTTTAATTGAAGCTAGGGAAGGGGGCGTTTTCTCCTGTTTGGGAGAAAGGAGGGAGGAGGGGAGAGAAGAGGAAAGGATGGAATATTTTTCTGTATTCCGTGTGGAGCTCTGTTACAGCAAGGGTTAATTATAATGTTATCTGTACACATACACATGCCCGTGTGTGTGTACATGAGCAATTTAGTTGAAGGACAGAAAAAGGTACACCAGAGGACTGGTAGGAGGAAAGAATAAAATTCTAGCTGGTTGCTGAAGGGCTTGTCACAATTGTACCTCTCCTTTTCCTTTCCCTTTTTTTGGGGTGTGTGTGTGTATGCTTTTCCTAAGTGATTTGCTTTGTGTGTGTGTGTGTGTATGTGTGTATGTGTGTGTGTCTTTATTCCTTAGGCACCTGCGGGCAGCTTTGGTTTTCAAATGCACATTTTCCTACCGGTTAAGAGGCTTGGGGTGGTGGTGGTCGTGGTGTTCGGAAGATGGTACTAGAGCGGGTCTGTCTAGGGTTCAGGGGAAACTATATTTGCCTGGACAGATCTAATTTGATACTAGGATTGAGCATTGGCCTCTGAATTTTAACTGCCCCCCCCCCCATTTCCCTGTCCCTTCCCCCAGTGTTCCATACCACACACACACACACCAAATGCTTTTGAGACTGCAGAGTTGGTCCAGCTTTCTTAAGCACAAAACCTTTCTTGCACCTAATGTGAAGGTTTGAGAATCCTGAAGGAAAGTTTTCACTTTAATTTTTTTTAACTGTTATTATGGTATTGTTTCAAAAGCACAAACACAAACTTTTTCGATGAAAGGTTATGTTTTACATATAGTAACTGTACTTCTGTGTATGTGTTCTGGTGTCAGGTTAAAAAAAATCTTACTGTTAGCATTGCTCTTTTCTGTGAACTGCTTTTGGTCGAGGTGGTGGTGGATGGTGGACATTGGTTGGGGAGGAAGGGAAGGTGATGATGGTTATTTGGTGGTGACTACAGATTTTGATGTCAGTGATGGAATCAGTTACCCTTTGGTTCTAGAACTGGTGTATTGGCCAAAATTTTGAGTGTTGAGGCTCACCACTTAGGATAATTCTAACCGTGGCTTTAACTTTGCCCAGGTGAATGGGTACTTTGAAGTGTGACTTCTCTTCAAGGTAGAGATTGATATGGCATCATGTATTCCTAAGAGAAAGCATTGCCTAGAATTTGGTTCACCATTGCTAATTTGTGGTTGGTTCAGGAAAGTACTTGTAAAAGATGGTTACAAGTGGTTCTGCTTTCTTTGTGGTCCCTCTCATTAAGCAAGAATGGCCTCTGGATTCCCATGATCATTTTGGAAGACCAAATAGAGATGGATAGATCGATATAACATGTAATAATTTCTGATTGTTTTATTTTTAGTAAGCTCTCATAGCTAGGCTTATATACTTATGCCAGTTTATAACAATAGCTGTTTGGGTTTGTAAAATATTTATCAATATGCTTGGCTTTTGAAAGAAAATGTGCTCTTTCCAGTTTATTTTGAGTTTGAAAACTTAATTTTTAAATAAGACCCCAATTTAAAAATGTACTACTAATACTGTTTCTTTCCTTGCTGTAATTGTTTTCTGGTACTTTTCCAGATTCAAAACTCAGGTTACTTTGGTTAGCTGAACCCTGTGTCACCTTCATATCTAAATATATATATCTGTGTGGGTATAACAGGCCTAACTTTTTGAAAAGTTTATTTAAAATTTGGTAGCAAATGTACACATACACAAAAGTAGACAAGCCGAACATTAATTCTTAATAAACCCAACACCAAAGTTCAGTAACTAACAACTCATGTGTTATCACGTTTCTTTCGTGGTCCATGTACTTACTCCCTGCTCTCAGATGTGATATCTCATCTGTAAATGTTTGTATATAAATCTCTAAATAAGGACTCAAAAACTACAAAACCCCCACAGTATCATTATCATTCCTAAAGAAATTCACCAGTTTCCAAATGTCAGATATGCTATTACTATTTACATTTTCATAGGTCTAACTTTTGTAGGAAAGCTGTTAATCAACTTTTCATATTAAACACACTGGGGAAAAATATTTGTCTGGTTCTTTAGCAAAAGGTAGATGTGGTGTCTGCTTGGTATCACACAGTGTCCTTTTTGGATAGTCAGAATATATGTGTAGTGATTGTTAAAATAAAACCTCTCATGTTCCACTAATCATTTTGGAAGGTTTAGTAAATTATAAACCAGGAAACATGAGGGCTGATTAGGAAACAGGCAACTAAACTATGAACTTGGACAAAAATGTGTGTTAAGACCATGTTTGTAAATGTTAAGAATTATTATAGAGCCTAAGAGTTACCCTAAATGTATACTGTGTTTTTGAGCCCTGTGTTTAGAACTGAAAACAATTGTTATCACCTCTCACTAAGGCTGCTGCTGGTATGATGCGATGATAAGAAACCAGAAATATTGACTTTCATAGCTAGGCTTATATACTTAGGCCAGTTTATAACAATAGCTGTCAGACTCAAGGAACATACTTCAGGTGTTAGTGGACACATTGACTTCATGATTTTGTCTTGAGTAGCTTGATTTTGGGCTCCCTTTTAAAAAACTCATAATGAAATATGTTGACATAAATAATTCCAGTCCAGCTATGATTTTACAGATACTGGAGAGTAAGGAATTAAACGTGTCTAATGAAAGCCTTGATTTTTATGCTGATTAGTTTTACTATTGTTTGAATCTTTTTTTAGATGATGAAAGCTGTACGGGTAGTTTGGCAAGTCTCACACCTCATAGACAGTGAAACTGGCTGAGGTAGTTTTATATTCTGCAGGGACATTTCCCTTGAGTAATTGTTCCCTGAAGTTCAAATGTGTGATTATGAAGAATCTGATGATAGAAGATAAGAGGGTAGGTGAGGAGGCTAAAGTTGAACATGGTGTTCTTTTCATTATGTAGTAGAGAAGTGGAATTACCATTTGGGTATGGTATTGTTTAGCTGGAAATTTTTTAAATGACAGAATTAAGAGCGAATATCCTCAGATATGTTTAGTTTTTTTTTTTTTTTTTTTTTTTTTTTTTTTACAGTGGGTGCAGCTAAGAACTTACAAATGGTGGAAATATTGGGGTCCTAGTACCATCAGTGCATGCCGATGCACCAGATAATAGAAACTTTTTGATGTTTGGCTTTTTGTGTCATCTCTGTTAAGAGGAAGTCATGTGAGCATTATGGCTGAAAATTTGATTTTGCAAATCTACTTCCCCTTTATTCTTTTAAAAGTATTTTTTTAGTTGTAAATGGATACAATACCTTTATTTTTATGTGGTGCTAAGGATGGAACCTAGTGCCTTCCACATGAGAGGAGAGCATTCAGTCACTGAGCCACAACCTCAGCCCCCCTCCCCTTATTCTATTTTTTGTGCATTGGGTTCTTTGGGAATATTCACTTAGTGCAACTGACATGGGGATGTAAAGATTAAATTGGTGGAATTAGCAGACAAGAGACTTGTTAGAGCCTTGGAATCTTGTGAAAATTAAGGAACACAGTTCTTTCTGGTGAGTATAAGATCATACTATGGTTTTCATTTTCTAGCTCTGTCTCAGGGCTTACCCACACATCAGTGGTCTTAAATAGGCTGTACAAAAAAAAATTATACTTTTTTTAAGTTGTAGATGGATACGGTAGCTTTGTGTTTATTTTTTTATGTGGTGCTGAGGATCAAACCCAATGCCTCATGCATGTGAGGCAAGCACTCAGCTACTGAGCTACAAACCCCAGCCAGCTGTACAAAATTTGATGTACTTATTATATGCCATGTTTCCAACAGTTTGTTATGGTCAAGTCTCAATGAGTTGTTTTAAAAACAACAATAATCATGTTCTTTATTTGAGAGAGCAAATATTTATGGATTGCTTCGTATGTGCAAGGCATTAGAAATATGGAGAAACCTTAAAAAATATATATAGCATCTTGAAGATGTATGCAGTTTAATTGATAAGTTTATCACCTGTAAAATAATTTTGAAACAGGTATTTGAATACATAATAAGTAGACTTAGATATAATAAGTGCAGTAGACTTTCAAAGATAGGCTGAAGTTTTTTTTTTTTAAATTTAAGTATTTTTTAGTTGTAGTTGGACACAATACCTTTATTTTATTATTTTTATGTTGTGCTGAGAATTGAACCCTGGGCCTCACATGTGCTAGATAAGTGCTTTACCACTGAGCCATAACTCCAGCCCCAGACAGAAGTTTTTGAGGGGTCTTCATGGAGAAGTTGGGTCCTAGAAGGATGAAGTGATATGCATAGATAGGGTAGGAGTGGAGAACTGGAGAGCATTTTAAATACTGAAGAAGCACAGAAAATAGACCAGTAAGAAGACGTTACGTTATGTGATTAAGACAAGGGGGCAAGGAAGTGCTATTAGAATTGAGTGGAACAGTAAGAGAGCATGTTGCCATACAAGGTTTTTAATCCCAGCCAATCAGAAGGCTGAAGCAGGAGAATTC